AGGGGTCAAAGGTTTACATGGGAGTTTACATCAGCGCAGATGAAACGTCGTCACTACAGTCCTGCTGCGCTCTGCTGATGTAAACCGGATTCTGCTGATGTCTTCACGGGCATGTTACATCACTGTAGGCCAAGAAGTCTTCCGATCTTATACTGGGCTTTATAAATAAGCCCAGTAATTGCTTTGAGGACAACAGGAAATGGTTACAGAGAGCTATGGAATAACAACAACAATAATAATAATAATAATAATAATATTTGTGACTAAATATGGGTAGTTTGTCATGTGTCAAACAATGTGACACGCTATTCTTTATCTAAAATTATTTTTTAAATAGTTTCAAATTAATTTATAAATATTATACATATAGATTTGAATCATTTTATATATTGATTGATTGATAGACTCATAATTACACCACAGGACTCTTGAAGTGAACTGCAAAAAGCTGAAACATTAATAATCATTAATTACTTAAGATTAAACTTTAAATTATTCATAAATGGTTATATATTACATATATTATATAAATAACAATTTATATAAAACCATTTATGAATAATTTAGTGTTCACACACACATTTTGAACTGTACACATTCATATAAATACAAACCTAACATGATGTTTAATAAAGTTTCTTTTTTTTGTCAACTAGGAATGTTGTGAAAATCAATCAATTATTTTTGGAGAACAGTAACATAATATTAAAATACTTTGAAATAGATAAATACAAATGTATTTAACAAAAAAGATGCAATAAATTTCATATGACACCCGACTAGAGCTGTATATATTCCAACTGCAGTCGGACAATGGTGAATTCAGTGGAAAGAGTGTTAGATGCATGTGTGTGTTTTTGTATACTCACTACAGGCTTCCTGGAAACACACTATATTGACCCCACACATGACTGCCACCTCTACCATCTCCCCACACGCTTGTGCAGAGCTTTGATCTATGAAAGCAAAATTAGAATATGGAGTGTGACGAATTCAAATGAATTATATTAAATTTGTTTTAGCATGTATATGTACAGTGGGTACGGAAAGTATTCAGACCCCCTTAAATTTTTCACTCTGTTATATTGCAGCCATTTGCTAAAATCATTTAAGTTAATTTTTTTTCCTCATTAATGTACACACAGCACCCCATATTGACAGAAAAACACAGAATTGTTGACATTTTTGCAGATTTATTAAAAAAAGAAAAACTGAAATATCACATGGTCCTAAGTATTCAGACCCTTTGCTCAGTATTTAGTAGAAGCACCCTTTTGATCTAATAGCCTGTCAGAGCCAAAATGTGCCACCTGGCCATTATATGTACTGTGTACTTCATTCTCTCACCTGTTCAAGCACAGGAGCATCAGTGGGTAAAACTAGCTTGTTCTGAACGAGTCCCACGCGGACAGTTCTGGGTGGTCTGAGCTGCTCTGGAGAAGCCTCAAACACATAACCCTTCAGATCATAATCTTGCTCAACTGCAGCATCTATTGCACTCTGGGGAATGTTCAGCTTCCTGAAATGCATGTATTACAATTTTAAATGGCATAAACTCAATAAAATCTAAAAGCAAACAAATAGGGAAGAGTAGGGATGACTGTAATGGTCAAAGATACATTTGTTTTTCAGTTCAGTTTGTATTTCGTAATTTTACTACACCACGGTTAAACTAGTTAGTGTAGCAAGACCATGCAAAACCATGTGGCAGTACCATGGTTAATGTAAATCCATGGTTAATTTTTGAAAGTGTAGATTTTAAACTGTATTCTCTGATGTTGTTGTATATTTAAAAGTGTTTTTATGCTTTACTTATATCCGAGGCAAATTTCCCATGTTGTCCATGAATAAATTAGCAAAACCAAAAGGGTTTATAGTTATACACTATGCTAAAAAATAAGAATTTATTTCATTGAACAGGCAAACTGTTTGGCTGCTGTTATTAATTATTAAATGTTCTACGTTATTATGTCATGTTTTGGTTTTTTAGTTTCTGAAAATAATGCAAAAATGAAACCAAGGAAAGGCCGTTTATATTTATGGGACATCTATGAGAATGATAAAGTTAGAGCATGTCAGATTTCACCTCAAATTCCCATCGCTGACAGACATCAACGACATTCCCAGGGACTCTTGTGGCCAAAGTCCACCATAAATAATTTACTCAGTTTCAGCTTTTACTAGATGTAGTTACGAGAGTAAACTTCTAGTGTAAAAGCTACCTTACATTTGGACAAATGCTAACCGTCTGAACCTGTTAATCTCCTTAATTATTTCAGAGTTGCCTAGTTTCATTATAGAGCACATCCATATAAAGCCAGCCGTCGTCGCAGCTGTGTGTGCACTGCAGCTCCCTCCAGTCCTCTAGAATGAATTTAAGCGCGTTTGTGACTTACTTCGGCTCTTTTCCGAACAGCAGTCTTCTGCCCTCTGAGTTCAGCCTCAGGTGCATGTCACCAACCTTCTCTAGCGATTCAAAGTGTTTCCCAGACATTTTGAGCTGCCGTACTATTTAACTAACACACGTCCAGCTGTACCCTTCCAACTCTTATGCAAACTGTTCACGACAGAGGGTCCAAAGCGATCCCTGCATGATTTGTTGTTAGCCTTTATGTATTACAAAGTCAAGACTGAACAGTTTTCAAACCAAAAGTATGAACTGTAGGCGTTTTTATGTAGTTTCAAGCAATTTCTGCAGCTGTGCTGCAACACGTTACAGTCCTAATTACACCCATACCTGTCAACCCTCCCGTTTTCTATCCCGCTATCATCCCGTTTAAATATTTTCACGTATTTTTAATCTTTCTATTAAAAAAAATTCCCACTGGGCATATTTTATATGTTTGCTACATTCGCTTCCGGTAAAACTCCCATAATTTGCATGGGCCAAACCTCATTAATAATCACAACAACAAATTCCAAGGTTGTCCAGTTGCCAGATCTTGTATAAAACACATCTTTCTCACGCGATCGACGCATACCAATTTCAACCCATTTATCCCCTCAACTTGGCAACCTACAGCCCAGCGATGCTATGTGTGCGCATGTAGTACGCGGGAAGGAAACAGTGGGAGAAGACCAGGGCTGCGTTCAGCCCCGACAAAAACGGTGCAAAACGTTTTTTAAACGGAAACGGTGGTGCGTTGAACACACTGTTCTGATGACCCAAGAGTTGCAACTATGGCAGCTGAGAAGGCCATTCTTTGTGTTCTTTTTGAAGAATTTCGGAGCCTGATGAAATCGGTATAAATACCTGTTTAATACTGCAAAATACGCTCGATGTTACAGTCACTGCCCTTGCCCTCCTGAATAAAAGAGAACATCCCAATCGAGTTAAGGGATTTGTGGAAACTGTGGTTCCTAATTATTATTGTGATCCAACATTTGCCTCGCATTTCAGGATGAAAAGACAAACATTTCATTACCTCCAAGATCCTTATATTCTATATGACCGTATTATTTTTATTGTGAATATTCTGCTTATCATTATTGCTGACCACTGTTGTTGTGCTATGCTATTGTGATATTTACCATTATATAATCAGAGTATAGAAAAGTTTATGAAAGTGTCACCATTGTGCGAGCTGCCTCTTTAATACGTGTGGTTTACATGCATGTTGCTGCTGATTGGGCTGACATTTTTGACACAACCACCAAACAAGAGAAAACGTATCTCAAACCCCGTTGCATACCGTTTCCAGGAAACATGTCGTTCAAACCGGAAACCGTAGCAAAACGTTGCGCACCGGTTTGAGCTTGAACTTGCCCCAGGTTTTCTGGATACTCACCTCATCTGCCATTGGATGGCCAAACAGCTAGTCCCGCCCCAAACTGATGCCACTGGTTAAGCCAGTGTTTCCATGTCAGGCTGGTGATGCTTAAACAAACAAAGGAAATGTTTTATAGCAAAACAGATCCACAGTGTTTACATTTTGTTTACATTTTTACTGTTGGAATAGAAAAAAGCATATAACATATGCGTATATTCATATAACACTTACACTCCCATACTCCGTTCTCATGCCTTTGTTGGACTCAGCAGTGAGTTAGCAAATGCCACATTCTCATCAGATTGTTTGTTTTGTGGTGACTTTCTTTTGTACCGGGACCTCCTCCACTCTGGTTGGAGAGTTTCCCTTAAAGGCTGCCAATCACAGTCAGGAGAATGAGGGATCACTGACAGATAAGAGGCACAGGGTGGAAGGTGAGGGTCAGGCGAGTAACAGAGGACAGTGACAGAAAAAGAGAGAAGCAAGACTATCAAAAACTAAATATTAAATATGAGTGCTGCAAGTTTCAAAGTCAGGTGCTGCACTGCTTTGTTTACTGTGGTTACGGGGGAAACGGCTATATTCCTGGCGAAAAGCGCCACCTGCTGGCAGAGAATGAATTTGCATTTTTCAATAAGCCCTACTGCTCTTTGTTTAGTCTAAACTTTAGACCAAAGCCAAAAACGACCCTTATTTTTACGCAGAAAACACACAGTTGTAAATGTGAACTGGTGGATGGACAAGAAGATAATGAATTATAAAACTCAAGATATAGCCTACACTAAGATATATTTATGTTACTAAATGAATATAATTGGTTGATAATAATTGTTTAAATTAATATAAATATAAAATAATATAAGATTCAGTAAGATTTATTTGAATAAATGCATTTATTTGATGCAGTAAAATCAGTGATATTGTGAAATATTGTTACATTGGACTATATTTTATAATGTACTTTATTCCTCCATTTTTCAAGTCCTCAGTGTCACATGATCCTCCAGAAATCATTCTAATATGCTGATTTGGTGCTCAATAAACATTTAATTATTATGTGAAAGCAGGATATTGATTCTTTGATTAATAGAAATATTACAAAACTGAATTTATTTAAAATATAATTATTTTGTAACATTATAAATGTCTCTCTTGATCAATTTAATGCATTGTTACTGAATAAAATTATTAAATTATTATAATTTTTTTAATCATAGTGACCCCAAACTTTTGAATGGTTGTGTATATACACAAACAACATTTATTCTTCACATTGATTTATATGACATAACCAATTCTATAAATAAAATATTTACAACATTGTTAAAGAACACAAGGAAATAGTAAGAGAGTGTTTTCAGCTCCGAGGTGTTGTGATGGCTTTCTTAAAGTTGATAGCTGCTTTGATGCGGTTTTGACTGACTCCTCCCCTTTTAGATGCTCCACCCCTTTTGTCCTTCTCCTTTGAAGGATTTGACAGTTTTCTCAGAATCTCTAAATTTAGCAGAAAGAAAGATTACATTAAAGAGAGAACCAACAACTACAGATATTGTGTGAAATATAACGATGTTATATTTCTGCTGATTAGTAAGCGTACACTTTATTTTAATTAGATCGGTGGGAAAATCCTTTAAAAGAACAATACAATGAAAAGAAGCAGCATGGAGTGTTTTTCTTGATATCAAATTTTTCCAAATTATAGAATAATGAATGAAAAATAGAAGCATTGCCTGCTAGCTCAGGGTAACTTGTCCCAAAGTCATACACTGCAGTATACTTTGGACCTTCACTGCCTTCACCTCCTGCATAAGAGAACATACAAAGCTGTATTTACTGATGTTTTCCGTAAAGTTGTTGTGATATCTGATGTACCTGAAGTTGGTGAGGGCAAACTCACGTGATACACGTAATGGAATATAGCTCTCTCTCTCCTTCAGCAAACTGCTGACGAGGTCGGTGCTCTGTGCTCTCTCTGCCAAGTTCACCAGCTCTCCCATCCTGTCCATCAAGTCCACAGTCTCTATAGAGAACAGAGCAGGTCTTTTTTTTTTAGATCACCAACACTGAGTCTGTTTGGCATCAAATTAACAGTTAGTAGCTTAGCAAGTGTGTTTCTGATTTTAAGTGTTGCTTGGAGTTGAACAAACCCCAGACCCTAAGAATAAGACTTCACTGCTTTTTTATTTTTTCAAATCTAACAACCACTAGGAGCACCTTAGCAACCACATAGCAATGGCACAGCAAGCATCTGCAACCCCCTAGCTAGCATCATGGTTCTCTCTGCCAAGTTCACCAGCTCTCCCATCCTGTCCATCAAGTCCACAGTCTCTATAGAGAACAGAGCAGGTCTTTTTTTTTTTAGATCACCAACACTGAGTCAGTTTGGCATCAAATTAACAGTTAGTAGCTTAGCAAGTGTGTTTCTGATTTTAAGTGTTGCTTGGAGTTGAACAAACCCCAGACCCTAAGAATAAGACTTCACTGCTTTTTTATTTTTTCAAATCTAACAACCACTAGGAGCACCTTAGCAACCACATAGCAATGGCACAGCAAGCATCTGCAACCCCCTAGCTAGCATCATGGCGTTGTGTTTTGCACAGGTAGAAACAACTTATATATACTTCATAAATGTAAGAATCTAGTTTAAGCATTGATGTAACTCATTTTCGATGTCAACCCAGCTGAATTATACTTTAATTTACCTTGGGGATCTAGATTGCATTTTTCTTTTATACAGTGGATGAAGTTTATAACCTTGCAATTTAGGTTCAGTATCTCCTCTCTTCCCTCTGTAAGAAATATATATTTGAAAACATTCCAACCATAAAAGCAAAGGAACTTTGCTATATTATATAAAATTATAATGTGAATATATACAATACTGTTCAGAAGTTGGGGGTCAGTAGAATTATAATTTTTTTAAATAAATAAATGAACACTGTTATTCAGCAAGGAAGCATTACATGGGTCAAAACTGACAGTAAAGACATTTGTTATAAAGGATTAGAATTTCTGTTTCAAATAAATGCTTTGTATTCCTCAAAGAATCCTGAAGAAAATGCATCACAGTTTCCATAAAAATAATAAGCAGCACAACTGTTGTCAACATTATTAACAATAAGAAATGTTTCTTAAGCAGCAAATCAGCATATTAGAATAATTTCTGAAGGATCATGTGACACTGAAGACTGGAGTAATGATGCTGAAAACTCAGCTTTCCATCACAGGAATACATTTTAAAGTATATTGAAAATAGAACAGCATTATTTAAAATAAATTAATACTATTTCACAATATTTTACAATATTACTGTTATGATATAATAATGTTCTAATATGAATAGGCTATATATATAAATTATCCTGCACTTACCACCAAATATCACAGTAATGAACATCTCAGTCTTAAGATGTGATGTTTTCAACTGCTTACTGTTCCAGCAGCCTGCAGTAATGAACGTCTGTTCACACAGTAGGAAAATAAAAGCCAGTTAAATGTTGTTGACGACAGCTATACCTAGAGACAAAGCCCTGGTTTATGAGGAATGCTGTGGAGTTCTACAGTACTGAATGTAATTGGCAGACTAGACTCAGTGTAATCAGAATATTATTCTGCTGTGCCACCACTGAACTATGGATGAACTCCCCTCCCGGCCTAGAATCTGCATTATATAAACAGCACCGTATTACCCGGCTACATTTTTCACTCACTGTTTTTTTTTTTTTTTGGCTCTCTCTTTCTGTAACCCCCTTGAAAAAAGAGGAGAGAAGGGACTCTTTTTTTATGAAGCAGACCAGGCTGATTTGTCTCCATGGAGTTAGTACACAGACAGACAGGTTCTTTGATACTTTGAAGTATTTATCCAGGGCATGTCTAGTTGTGTGGGGAACAGATCTATAGTCTTTTTCCCATGACTTTAAATGCAACAGTAAGAGAACAGCACAAGTCCTTCCCAGTTGTGGCTATTTCAGTACTAACTTGGGGAAAAAGTTGTGCCATAAGAAATGAGTCTTAAAGGACTAAGAGGTTAGCAAACTTAATTCATTTAAATGTCTGTTGCAGTTTTGTCCCTGTATTTCAAGACTGGGCATCTTCGGTCCTGGAGGGCCACTGTCCTGCAAAGTTTAGCTCCAACCCTAATCAAACACACCTGCCTGTAGCTTTCTAGTGATCTTGAACACACTGATTAGCTTGTGCAGGTGTGTTTGATTAGGGTTGAAGCTAAACTCTGCAGGACAGTGGCCCTCCAGGACCGAAGTTGCCCAGTCCTGCTGTACTTTAAACTGCATGAATCTTGAGTAGAGGTTCATTTTTGGAAGTGAATGGCCTTATAGGTACATGCATTCACATAAAGATATTTATACCGTAATAACAAATAACTAAATATTTCTATTTCATATAAATACTGTTATTTTGAACTTTTCATTCATCAAAAAAATCCTGACAAATGTATCAAGGTTTCCACAAAAAAAAATATTAGGCTGCACAACTGTTAGAAAAAAAGAAAGAAAAAAGATAAGATATAAGATATAAGATATAACAAATGTTTAATAAGTTCTGGAGAATCATGCCACACTGCTGAAAATTCAGCTTTGCCATCACAAGAATAAAGCACTTTTTTAATTACATTCAAATAGAAAACTGTTATTTAAAATTTTAATTATATTTCACAATATTACTGTTTTAATGTATTTTCATCGAAAAAATAAGAAACAAAAATTTTTAAATGCCAAAATTTTTAACAGTATTGTAAAAGCATTATAAAAATGCCCAATTGTGTCATAAAATATATTAGTTTACATTTTTTCCCCCGTCACACATGTACAATTATTTAAAATTATAATTAAAATATATTTTTTGTCATCTTCCTTAATTGGGAGCTGAGGAGCCCTAGCCATCTGGTTGAGAACCACTGTTTTATAGCACCATTGCTGATTCACAATCCTGTAAATCGAGGCAGAATAACAGCCGATGAGACACAGACAGCAACTCCATGACAACATAGGCTTGAGCAGTCATAAACTCAGATTCCTGTTATACTCAACTTTGCTTTCAAGGAAAAAAAAATGTTATCAGTGTGTAAACATCATCAGCTTCATCAACAGGTATTTTCCACAAATCTAGATGTGATATGAAGCCCTCTATGACCTTTATGTCACAGATTAGACCAATCAGCCTGTTTGCTTAGCTCAATAAAACATAGATGTGTGCCAAGGGTTACTATGTTTTATATATACACACATACTGTATACACTACTAGTATACACTACATAAGTTTGGAATAAACACAATGCTTTAGTGGTTTTGAAAGAAGTCTCTCACGCTCATCAAGGCAGCATTCATTTGTTTACAAAAAAGGTTCAAACTTAATATTGTGAATATTGTGTTTTCTATTTTAATAAATTGAATAATGTAATTTATTCCTGTTATATCTAAATAGTTATTGCAGCAGGACTATTCTATATTTGAGGTACAAATTGCTATTGTTGATAAGATGATCCAAAAGCTCATGCAGATATGGAGACGAGCCCAGGAGTCATAATCAGAGTTCATTAGGAAGATGGGAGTGAATGCTGCATAATCAGATGAGAAACACAGGTTCATTTAACATCCTTTTGTGTCAACACACAATGAGCTTTTGTTTGGAATAATTTGAGCTAGATAACTGTGAATGGTTTTTTTTGTGTGTGTAAAACTGATTCAGTTCAAATCGAATTGGCAAAACAGTAGTCTGCCTGCAAGTGATTCAATCTGAATCAAGCGTGTTTGACGTAAAGCTACCCTCTATATTTACATTTGTATGTCTATTGTATCTATATCATATGTGGAGCACGGTTCAGAAGAATGATAATGCTACCCTAAAATACTCTAGAAATCTCTTGAGATGCACTAGTGCACCCTTTAACCTGGAATCTTTTGGGACTTTGGGAACAGGCTGGGAAAGATACAATGTTAGGATTCATAAGACCCTTCAGCGTGTGATCGAGCACAGCTGCCCAAGAGAGGGACTCTCCCGGGATGACCACTTCATGTCTCCATGTCTGGGGGGAACAGGCTGGGAAAGATACAATGTTAGGATTCATAAGACCCTTCAGCGTGTGATCGAGCACAGCTGCCCAGGAGAGGGACTCTCCCGGGATGACCACTTCATGTCTCCATGTCTGGAGACTCCTTCTTTGGAAGGAAAATAGCAAATCATTTTATAGCCTGCACTTAAGCTATATCACACACTTGGCCAAGTTGTTTACCTATAGTTTTATATAAAATATTTAAGCAATATTATGAGCAATAGTGCTTAATACATACAACCGTTCAATAAACATTAGTTTTTGAGTAAATTACAGAATATTGCCCGTTTCTTTGTCTGTTTTTCCTTTGTCTGTTTCAAACACAGCCACAACTTCACAGTAGAGTGTTTTGTTCCTGAATGAATCAGTGTTCCCATTTAGTCGGTTCACTCAGTACAACTCATGCCTCATGCCTCAGTACAACTCACGCGCTCTTGTGCCATTTGCTGAAGACACCTTCAGCATTCAAGCCTGAAAGGCCAATAACGCATGACGACGTGGGCGGGGCTACCTGCCCACAGCATATAAATGCAGTCGCATACGTCATTCCCTTTGTTCTTCAGGTCTTCCCCGTGCTGTTAACACCATCACCCCACATTCACAAGAAAACCCAGTGGTGACTCTCGTTGAAGAGAAAGGCATAAAAGAGAAGTTTTTAGCTCGAGTTTAGCACAGCAAAGAAATGGCTAATATACTTTTTCATGAGAAATGTCTGAGCATAAGATCTAACCCGTCCTATGGCATGTGGGTGTTTATGGTCACAAGCACTCTTGCGAAGCTTGCGGGTTCTGTTTGACCTCTGTAGAAACAAGTGATGAGAACCTCCCTGCCGATCAGTGTTGGGCAGTAACTAGTTACTAGTAACTTAGTTACTTTAATAATATTACCTTTTGCAGTAACTAGTAGTGTAACTAATTACTAATAAGATTTCAGTAATAATATTACAGTTACCATTCATAAAACAACTTAGTTACTTTTGATGCCTCAACCCCGCTAATTTAAAATCCAACAATCAAATAATTCCTAGATTTATTTTCATAATTTTCACGACTCGCACATGCATGTGATGTCCCCAGTGCAGCAGGCAAGCTTGGGATATGGAAAAGCTTACATTCAGCAGATAGAAATATTCTCAACCCCGCTAATTTAAAATCCCAACAATCAAATAATTCCTAGATTTATTTTCATAATTTTCACGACTCGCACATGCATGTGATGTCCCCAGTGCAGCAGGCAAGCTTGGGATATGGAAAAGCTTACATTCAGCAGATAGAAATATTGCATTATATTGATTTTGTTAGGAAAAAAAGATGATCTGAACACTGTTGTGTAAGTTGTGGTTTTACTTTACTCTGGCATTACATCCCACCCACATCCCTCTGATCAGCATGAGGTACATTATATTAATATAATTAAAAATCTTTTTGGAAAATTAAACCGTTTCTTACAAACTTATGTGATTTGATAAAATACATAATGAAATATAATCATATATGGTAACAGAGACAAGCTTCAAGCTACACATGACAATTAATGAGATTAATACAACACTTCTACTTGAACGTCACTATCAGTCACTATTGAGTGTTTGTGATAACTTCTGACTGCGATCCAATGTGGATTTTGGTCAAATGATGAGGCAGAAATATGTTGTTAGTAACATTCTAGAAGCATTAAGTACTCTTCTTTGGGCCTTCAATGCCCCATGGGAGTAAGAGCCCACTCAACTAGAGGTGTTGCCTCTTCCTGGGCCTGGTCTAGCGGTGTGTCCATTGCAGAAATTTGTGTGGCGGTCGGCTGGGCCTCGCCGTTCACATTTGCCAGATTCTATAGTCTGGACATCCCGGCCTTACAGGCGTGGGTCCTTTCTGCATAGCAGGTCACTCTGTCGTATAACAACCAGTGCTTGGCGTTTGCCTCCTTCATGTACGCTCTTGGCCCTCAGTGAGTTCCGAGGCTGTACTGAATTATTTCGGGACGATGATACAAAGCTGGGCCGACCTCTCTGAGTTTAGCCCTACTGCCTTTTCAGCCCTACTGCCTTTTGCGGGGCTTCCCTGCAAATTATTTAGTCCCTCTGGGCCCCCTTGGGTGCTTAAGGCAAGTTCAAGTATTAGTCGTTCCTCTAGCATAGCACGGCGGGATTGTACTGGTTCCCCAAAGCATCTTAAACAGATGCAGTATGAGTGAAGTATCGATAGGGAACGTACTCGGTTACTAATGTAACAGAACGAGTACTGTGTACTTTGCCGTGCTATGTAGCTGCATGACTCAGTCGTCGCTTCAGTCGAAGTAACCTGAGGATCCTATCGCGATGTGCCGCTTATATAGCCAGATGCTATATAATTCTAGCTCCGCTGCCGAGCCATTGGTTCGTTTTGAATACACT